TCTTAAAGTTGAAAGTCATTAACCATTATTGTATATTCCATATACATATACACACACATATATATATAACCATTATTTATATCCTGTTGACAATATAAATAGCATCCATTGCAGTGTCAAGTAGTGAATATTATAATTAATTACACTTAGATTTTTCTCTGGTTTATTTGTTTTCTAATTGCTTTTCTTTTTTTCTTACATTCCCTGCCTTTTCTGTCTCCTAAAATCTTTTAATATCTCAAGTGTAATATTAAATCTCCTTTTTTCTTTGACACCTTTTCCCAACCTTTTGTTATCCTCCCCGGGTGGATCACTGCACAATCAATCCTCTCTTCGACTAAATCATCTGTTTGCAGATTTCACATTTTCCTCCTTCATTTACTGTCTTACTGTGATATAATGTATCCTCAATTAATATCCTAAAAAATGAGGGCAGAAAATAACAAACAAATGGATTTGTTATTTTCATATATTTGTTATTTACACATTTTTGGTCATCCTAAAAGTGTATCCTTCTTTGGACAGTTGGCTTAACTGATTTTAGAAGTCTAAGTTATAAATAATTTCCACTCAAAGCCTTGAAGATGTTGATCTGTTACCTCCTAGCATTCAAAACTGTTCACTGGATGGCCAATGCCAAACTACACTTGTCATTTTGTTGATGTCCTATTTCTTTTCCTTGGAACCTCCTAGGATAATCTTTATCCATGGTATTCTGAAATGGTATGAAAGGATGACAATTAAGAGTGGGCTCTAATATTTTAGGAACTGGTCTTTTTTAGTCTGGGGACTTTTGTCTTCCATTCTAGGAATGAACTCTCTCTCTCTTTTTCATTTCCTCTTCTCTATCTTCTCTGGTCTGTTTCTAAAATTCCTATGAATAGGATGTGAACTTCTGAATTATTGTCTATGTCAATATATGTCTTATGTCTTTTCTCTCATTTTTAAAATATTTTTAACTTTTGATTTTTATTCTAGATTTATTCAACAGTTTCAACTCTTACAATTTTTTCCTTTTTTTTTAATTTCAGAAAACATTTTTGCAAGTATTTAGAGCTCTTTGGGTTCTCTAATTTTTCTTTTCTCATTCTGTCTTTTTGTTTGTTTGTTTTATGGATGTAGGATCTTCTCTGGTATTTCTAACATTAAATAGAAAGATTTGTTTTTTCCTAGGGGCACCTGGGTGGCTCATTCATTTCAATGTCCAATTCTTGAACTTGGCTCAGGTCATGATCCCAGGATTATAGGATTGAGCCCCAAGTTGGGCTTTGCATTGGACATGGAGCCTGCTTGAGATTCTCATTCTCTCTCTCTCTCTCTCTCTCAAATAAAAAAATAAAATAAAAATTTTAAGAAAGATTTTTTTTTTCTGAATTAGCTCTCTTTCCTTTGGGATCCCTTTTTTTTTTTTTCCTGTTAATTTTCATTTTGATTTGCATGCTGTTGTTGCAGTATTTTCTCATGTTTGATGTCCCTTGTTTGTGTTTTTAATTTTTTTTCATGTATATTTAAGCACAAGCCTCTGACAAGTCAGTCTGTAAGTCTTCTGAGGGCAGACAGGGCTTGTCAATCAGCCAGCTGCACTGTAGGGTGAGTGGTCAGGGAGCCAGCTCTCACACCGGGGGACTCTTACCTAACAGAACTGAGGCATTTGCTCCAGTGCCCTTTAGGCTGTTCAGGTTTTTCTTAGATAGTTCATTCAATACCGTGAAAAAAGATCCTCCTCCTTTTTCTATTTGTTAGTTTGTTCAAAGAGTATATAGCCAGGAGTGCTGTGTTTAGGGGAAGGGAAGGCAATGCCCAGGCAGTCTGTAGTTTGTACTTCAATTATTCCTTCATTCTGTGCCCCCTGTTTCACTCGTACTCTCCAATGTCCCTGTGATTCTAAGAGCCACACCTCTCCAGGGGTGTGCAGAGCTAATGGGTTTCATCCCTATGACTTTCCCCTCACATTTCAGGCTTTAGCTCCCCCTCTTGCACATCAACAAACAGCAGACATTCTTGTACTTTCAGGAAAATGTTAAAAGTCTCTATTCTGATGATGGCTCCCTTCTCATTCTCTTTAGCCTTCCAGGGCTGAAGATACTCCTTTCTGGTTCTCATTGTTCTTCTACTACAGCTTAATTAAATCAGAAGTTTCTGAGTGAGGCTTAGTTATCGATGCGAGTTGTGAGAGTTTATAAAGATAGATCTGTGAGTGATTATAACATGGAACTGGGGAGGGAATGATAGCTCTTGCTGCGAGCATAGAGCAGCAGGTTGTAATCTCTCTGTGTGCTGATATTTGTCTCTTTGTACCATCCATTTTGCATTTCCTGCCTTGGTAAACATTTTTGAAAGACACACGATTACATATTGAGTCATTAACTGAAGATTAGAGAGTGTCATATCAAGCTACTGAAGTGTTATCATCAAGTTCTGTTAGTTGTCACATATGAGTAACTGTGTGTTTAACAGTTGTACGGCTGCGGCATTGCTGTCCTGTGTTTCTGTGGCACGGCAGCACAGAAAAGTCTCCTGTGATGCCCATTGACAGGAATGCAGGTCTTTGTGGCCACTCATGCAATAATGTAATATTATGTGACTCTTAAACTTCCCATAAGGAAAAGTATGTATTTCTATATTAAGCACATATCTGAATGTATATGTATCCCAGTTCAAAGTATCCTGCTGATAATTCCTAGTATGATCATTTCCCTTGAAATACTCTTGGAAATATGCATTTTTAGTATGTAAGTTTGCAAAACTTTTACCTGAAGCATGACTGTATTCATTTGGCTAGAAAGCTCTGAGTTCTCTTCCCATGTCCCACTTCCAAGTTAAAGCTGCCAATCCCTAGAAGGTAGGATTTCCACACCTTAAAAAAGTTTGGAAATTCTAATGTGTATCTCGTGAGTTTATTAAAAATACAAAATACTGGAGCGCCTGGGTGGCTCAGTCAGTTAAGTATCCGACTTTGGCTCAGGTCATGATCTCACAGTTCATGGGTTCGAGCCCTTCATCGGGTTCTGTGCTGACAGCTAGCTTGGAGCCTGGAGCCTGTCTTCATATTCTGTATCTCCCTCTCTCTCTGACCCTCCCCTGATCACACTGTCTCTATCTCTCTCTCAAAACTAAAAAAATAAAAAAATAAAATAAAATACTGGGCCTTGAACCCAGAAAATCTGATTCAGGACATCTGGACTAAGCTCCAGGAATCTGCTTCAAAATAAATTGTGCAGATTATTCAAATGCAGATAGTACGTGCCTTTGAGAATCTCACTCTAAGGCATAGAGGAAAAAGGGGAGATTAATTAACAAGCCATTGTATCCTGATAAATACATCAAGAGGAAATAGAGCAGAGTAAATCGGCATGTAAAGATCTCTAATGTACCTGGGTCCCACTAGAGTTAAACAGATGGTAATTCTTCACATTATACATGTAAATGAAACAAACAGATATGGATATCATTATTAGGTTTCTTTCTTTCTCTCTTCCTTCCTTCCTTCCTTCCTTCCTTCCTTCCTTCCTTCCTTCCTTCCTTCCCTCCCTTCCTTCTTTCCTTCCTTCCTCTCCCTCTTTCTTTTTTTCTTTATGTCTTTCCTTCTTAAGGAAACTCATTTACTTAACTTTTAATTACCAAAATGCTAAACTTTCAAATGATGGTATTTTCATTTGCCTTGTGAATAATGATCCTGAAGAATAATGTTTCTTCTGCATATTTGATTGATGTGCCTCTCCCAAACACAAAAGATACATAACCTCCACCTGCCCTTTTAAAATAAATAGCAGTTTTCATACTTGTCTTTTCCTAAGAATACCTCTTATTCTCTGAACCCCTTTGTTTGTTCATTGCATCAGGGCAAGCCACAGGCTCTAACACAAAAGTGATAGATACACAACAGATAAACGTGTTGGAACTGGAAGACTTTCTTTGCTGTCAAGTATTTTACTTGGAAGAAAGATCACCAAAGGGAGCTATTTAGTTGAGAATAAATATTCAAATAAAGTTAGCATTGCATTCAAGCTATCTCATTCACTTTTAAAGAACTTGAGCTATTTTCCTCTGCATTATTACATGTAGACAGGTAGAAACCTGCTAACTCAAACTGTGAAGGAAGAAAGGTGACAGACATCTTTGTTAGATTCTTAAAGTAGATTGGCCTGTTTTCCTCTAGTTTATATCTACCAGACAAGTAGTTGTGATTGTTTTACAGATATTCAACTCTACAGGGAAGTTACTCACTCTGATTGAAAAGTCTAACATGATTGGGCCCAAAATAACAATGGCCAGATGCCAAGTGAAAATTCCCCCTAAGCATGAATACCTTCCCCATTTCCACAATCCCAGACAAAAGTTGCTTCAGATCTGTTCACCCCGCCCCCTGCCACACACACACACACACACACACACACACACACACACACACACACACTGTCTACTAGAGCAAAAGCCCTTGACTTACCTTCACTTAAAATGTTTCTACCAGCCTTCATTTCTCACTTGGCTGTAAGTTTGTAGCCAACATTTAATGGCTGACGTATGGCCTGATTTAGCAAAACAGAGATCTGCTAAACCCACAGTTTTACAGATAGGTTAATCCATAAATGATTAGCTTTTTCACACATAGAAATTTCTTCAATTTGAGAACTAGTCACACAGGAGAGAAGAAGAAAGTAAGTAAAGGGAAAAAGAAGGAAGATGTTTGTCTTTGAACCCATCACCCTCCTTTAACCTAACAGCTCCTTCCTTCGGAGCTTGGAAATGGCCTCGAATCTCTTTCTATTATTTTTCTTGTGACAGATTTTATTTTCTTTTAAGGATCAGTTTACCTATAAAATCTTGTAACCAAAAATAAAAATAAAATCAACAGAAAGGAAAATTTGCTAATTCACATATTAGAAGGTTGATGAGGATATACTTAAGAAAAGTAAGTATATCAACCATTTTTATCCATTAAAAGTATATTTTACTGATAGCTCATTCTATGCCAGGCACTGTGTTGAAATGGACCCACCATGTCCACTTTGGCAACAAATGTGCTAAAATTAGAATAATACAAAGATTAGCATGGCTCCTGGGCAAGGATGAAATGTAAATTCATAAAGTATTCTGTACTTTTTTAAAAGGAAGAAATAGGAGTCTCACTGATTGTTACATTCATATCACCCAAACTTAGAAAAAATGTAGTCTTAATTTCTACCTACCACTTGTCTTTATTGATTTTTATTTTAGGAAAACATTTCTTTTTTTAATTTCTTGCCCTTTTCTATCACAGGAGAATATTTTCTGGTGTTTTTGAAATCTTCTATGATGGTTCATTATCATCAATCCTCAGATTGTGGTTGCTATATGCTGGGATGGGACTGCCATCTGAGGACTTAATGGGGAGATAGATGAGTCAAAATTCAGTGATCTAATATGGCATTATGTTTGTGATCTCAAGTTGAGTTCTTTACCTAGTAAGTAACACCAAACTATTTCCTAATTTTTTTTTTCCTGGGTACTACCAGCCAAGATTAAAGAGATGTGATATTAACGTAGTAACATCAAACACTAATTGTCAAAATATTTCCATTAGATTTTTCTTCTTAATTACAACAGAATATGAGTGTAGCTTTCTTCATTTTGTAGTACTTTAAATTGTAATACAAGACACAAATGAAAAAAAGAAAAAGAAAAAAGAAAAAAAGAGGGTGTCTGGGTGGCTCAGTCAGTTGAGCGTCCAACTTCGGCTCAAGTCATAATCCCACAGTTCATGGGTTCAAGCCCCACATCGGGCTCTATGCTGACAGCTAGCTCAGAGCCTGGAGCCTACTTCTGATTCTGTGTCTTCCTCTCTCTCTCTAACCCTCCCCTGCTCATGCTGTCTCTCTCTCTTACTCAGAAATAAATAAAACATAAAAAAAAAAAACAAAAATGAAAATGGGTGGTTCTGCCTGGCCCTGTGGTTGACTTTTCTGGGCCCAGGAGTAGGACCAGCCTGCCCTGTCATAGATGACTAAAAGCACCATGGCAATTCGAGCTGAGGAGAGGAATTGATGAGGTAATTAGACCCACATGAGCAGACAAATTCATTTCAAAAAAATAATTTAATTCTAGCCCTTTTCATTAATATTTTAAAAAACAAGAAAATGGGAAATTTTTGGCTGTCTTATTCTAGTACCCATAAATGGCATGCCCAGCACTCAAAATGTCTGTTGCTAGTCTAAGCTTAAAAAGTAGCTCAAGGATTGGATTAGCAATAACAAGTTTGAGACTAATACCTAGATTTTGACTCCTAATCCAGTGGAGCTTTTCCCAGTATAATACAATATCTTGGTCGTCAGTAGGAGATATTTTTGCTGAAATGGAATTTCATATAGGACATAAAGGTTAATAGGATCTATCTGGAATGCCCAATAGAATCCTTAAGCCTTAGTCTTCAAGGTCCAAGTGTGAGCAACTGTCACAAGCAGCAAGTTCTCAGCAGAAACAAGTATGTGAACACAGGGATGAGACAGAGATGGGAGTAAGAAGGATTGTTTCTCTCCTGTCTCCTATCCTGCCCCCAACCAAAATGTACCCATGACTCTTGCTCTTGAGTCAGTTTTGAAGGCAGAGAGAGCACTATAGCTGGATATTCATAGAAGTACTATTCTTCCTTTCAGTGCCCATTATATCTGAAATCCAGAACAATTATAATCCTTGATCCCTGGGTTAAATCACAAGGTTGAGAAACTGTTGTATGTGAAAAGAGAGGGGGAAGTGCCTGGTGGCTGAGTTGGTTGAGCATCCAACTGTAGATTTTGACTCAGGTCATGATCCCAGGGTCATGGGTCAGGCTCCATACTGAGTGTGTAGCTTGCTTAACATTCTCTCTCTGTCTCTCTCTCTCTGTCTCTCTCTCTCTGTCTCTCTCTCTCTTTCTCTCTTTTCCTCTCCTCTCCTCTCCTCTCCTCTCCTCTCGTCTTTTCTCCTCTTCTCTCCTCTCTTCTCCTCTCCTCTCCTCCCCTCCCCTCCCCTCTTCTCCCCTCCTCCCTCTCCTCTCCTCTCCTCTCGTCTT